GATGCTGTAGTGATTACCAAGTCTGACTGTTCGAACACATTTTCGTCAGTCGAGTTATTCACATATTCTTATTCCGTGAAACTTTATGTACATTATGTGATGTTTCTTTTGTAAGCTGTGTACATTTTGGGCCCTTTTTTTTAGAAACATATCTACAGAAGTCTACGGAACGCAAAACTTTGAAGCTCAATATCTCAAAACTGCTCAGAATGCAGATAGAACCTTATAATTCCAAGGAGGCGATTTTAATTAATATAAATTCTAAATTATGTTTTTGACTTCGTGGAGGTTTTAAACATGTTCTTTTGGATCTGTCATTAAAAATTTAACAACATAAATGATTTTCTTTCTTTCTTTTTTTTTTTACTAAATGATTTTCTCTCTCACAGCTCCAAATGTAGAAACTTGTGTCCAAAACTAAAGAACTATGTTTTTTAAGGTACCATACCATTATCTAGCTAGCTAACATAGATGAGATTTAGCTACAATATTGATAATGATTAATTAAAGCCTGAAAGCATAATTTAGAATGGGTTGCAAATTATAAATAAATAGATAGTAATTTTTGCCCCATGAGATCATTTTCAAGCAAAAATGTAGTATAGTTTAAAGCAATGTCATAAAGTTATAATCATGAAGTTACATAACTGCTATTATTTGAAATTAAACAGCTATTAATTTCAAATAATAGCAGCGATTATTTGAAATTAAAAACATAAATAATTTTAATTGTATTGTATGTTTAGATTTTAAAATGTAACATGTTTTCTTTTTAGTAAAGAAAGTGCCACATTTAATGAAAAAATATCCTTTGTATAACTACACAGCTATGTTTTAGGCAATGCTTCTGTGTTCAGTTCTTTCATGGCCTTGTTAGGTGTTTTTCTTCCACAGACATTTTGTTCTCCATGTTCCTTGCCTTATTAAATCAAAGATAATGTGAGTGCAGATGGCCGCTGTATTGTTTGGACAGATGAACGACATTCACAGATTACTTTAGAATCTTGCATGACATCAGCGTTCAAAATGCCTATATCACAAAGGAACAGGACATTTTTTTTAACTGTGAACTTCAGGCATGCTGTGTGTGTCATCATCCCGAGGCTCTATGTGATGAAAGGGGGGGGGGGGGGAGGGGGGGGGGGGGGGGGCAGTTAGGGAGGAACACTAAGAGATGAAAAGTTAAACTTAAGAAGACAAGAGACAGAAAGTGCGCTGTGATTCGTTGCAGGAAGCAACCACTGTTAAAAACAACAATAGAGGAATTAAACAGTGGCTTCAGCTAAAGCTAGTTTATGCTGCTTCAACAAACACAAAATTCCAATGGCTGTTAACCACGTTGGTGTTTTTGGTGCAATGTGAACAAGACAGTTAGTCTACATTCCCCAAGATTTCAGTTCCAACAGCCACATTGGTGTTTGCTGGCATTTATTCACCATTGTGATCAACCCTTAAATATCATGTACATTATTAAAACATCTTTTTGTAATTTTTTAAATCTCATTTGACCCAAACAACAATGTTCCTTCTCTGACCTCTGTATTTAGGACAGAAAGAGCTTGAAAACTGGATAAAAGAGACACACTCAGGTCCAGGCAGAGAGAGAAGAAGACATGTGACTGTGTAAAGGAGTAAATCACATGGATGATTCGGCCCAGCCAATTCTCTATCTTTCCCTCTGGATCCCTCACTAAATCCTTCAAAGTAATGAGGACCTCTCTCCTCTAAGCTCTGCCTTCAGTGTTCCAGCTGTAAGTCATCTGCCAGACATTGCTTCAAAAATTGTTTCACATTAACAGATGATACAGTAAGAATCAAATATCATTCCCTAATAACTAACTGGCTTTCTAAATGGTTAGTATTCCTGTTAGAAATTAACAAATAGAATGAAGTTTGCTAACCTAAATGTTTGGAACAGGGTCCAACTGACTGCTCTTTACAACAAGAGGATGGAGTTTTATTTTTCCTAAGGTTTTGCGAGTGGAAATCTTAATGTATTCGTATTGCAAAACCACAATTTTTAAAATGTATTTTACTTAGTTTAACCACAACAAATGTATGTTTATAACAATTTTGCACATTCTTGTTCCTTAGACTTAAAATTTAAGTCCAAATATAATGATCAAGATTGATCAGGGTTCCATATTTAGGGTCAGTTTATAATGGGAAGGATTCAAGTCTCACCCCTAATATTTTTTTTGGTGGTATAGTGTGTATAGTGTGCAAATTAAAAATGGCCAAGCAACCAAAATTACAATTTTGGAGTACTTGAGATGGAATGACTCTTGCTCAATTAACCATTCTTTTGAAGTCTACCTCTGAGGTCAGTTTGAGAACAGGCACGGTCACTGTTCAGCCTTTTGAAAAGTGAACTCATGACCTTTGCGCTGCCAAACCGCTTTAAACGAGAGCGTACATTCTCATGAAACCACTCCAGAGTCCCAATCTTAAGGATTCTATAAGAACAAAGATAAAAACAAAGAACAAAATTATTATTCAGTCAATCCAACTCTCATGAGAAAATGCAACTATTTTACAAGGTGGTGATATTCTATGAATTTGAATGATGTGATTCGCACTGATATGTACAATTTAACAACAACAACAACAACAACAAAACCCTAAACATAACCATCAGCGGGGTGTAAGAGGAATGTACAAAAACATACAAATTCACACAAATTAGCCAGTAATTTACCAAAACATAAAATAGTTACACACTGCCATGACAGTTCAACAATTGCCATTTCATAGGTTGGATCTACTACCAGTTGTTTATATTTAAAGGGGTCATATGATGTGATTTAAATTTTTCCTTTCTCTTTGGAGTGTTACAAGCTCTTGGTGCATAAAAAAGATCTGTAAAGTTGCAAAGACTAAAGTCTCAAATCCAAAGATATATTCTTTATAAAAGTTAAGAGTCAACCATGCCTACCTAAAATGGCTCGTTATAACATGCCCCCACATGTCTACGTCACAATGTGGGAAGATTTGCATAACGCCGCCCAAATGTTCACGCAAAGAAAGAAGGCATAACTTTTATTCTCGCTGTAGTATTGTTGTTGCCGCCGCTGCCATGTCGTGAAGGCGCTGTGTGTTTCGTTGTGAAAGCTAAACTACTTTGTTTGGCCTTCCAAAAGAGGACGATATCCGCTTCGTCATGCCTGGAGGAGATCCGTGCTGGTTGCTAAGAAAATGCATCAACTTCACGCTGTGGATCGCCGGATCGGCTTTCACTGTGGACGAGTCCAGCCTGGGGTCGTCGCATGTGGTTGCCGCAAGCCCTCCGGTTGCTCCTTCGTCGAATCTGCTGGCCGCGCCGTTCTCAAGCCCACCCGCCACCACTCACTCTAGCCACCCGCTGCTCACTCTAGCCCGCCGTGTGTTTTGTTGTGTATAAGTGAAACTACTTTGTTTGGCCTTCCAAAAGAGGACACGACTAGAAATCAGTGGTTAAGTTGTATTTACAACACTGTTCCAGAACAGTTCAACCCAAATATTCAGATGTGAGCAGCACATTTTATAGAGGACTGTTTCCTGATCCTGGGATACTACAATTCTGGCTGTTCTGACTCACATACTGTAAGTACGTTTTTTATATTTAAAGAATTTGCCACTGACGATTCAAATGCGAGTTTTCAGTTTCAGTGTAGAGTAGCGTTTGTTGTTTGTCATTTCTCCGATCACAAATGCAGACATGGTTTTATGTTTACACGGTGCGATGCAACGCAACGCGTAAAAAGACAGTATAAGTCATTATAATCCGTAATTATGTCCCCACTGGATGCAACAAATGCCTCGTTTATAATGTGTTTTAATGTTTCTGTCTCGTCGCTCCGGCCGGACAGGGCATCACAGTATGGTAAGGGGTGTAACATTTCCGTCACACACTTGAGGTATTCGGCCAATCACAACGCACTGGATAGCTGGCCAATCAGAGCACACCTCGCTTTTCAGACCGATTAGCTTTGTAAAAATCTACGTGTTTCAGAAAGACGGGAAAATAATTTGTTTTTTGAACCTTAAACCGCATAAACACGCAGGTCTGGAATCCAAGCAGCTTTCATTGGCCAAGGTCCGCCCATGAGGCCGTTTGACTGACATGTCAAACAACCAATCACAGTTCGTTTCATTCATTGTCATGTTTTGGGGCGTGAAATTGTCGCCACAATAACAGACCGGTGTGTAAAACTCTCTGACGTATTTTAAAGATTCTATGCCGCAAGCTTTAAATTTTTTACATACTTTTGAAAATCCAGCGTTTAGTTGATCCTGATAAGCGCTCGTCGTCAAAGTTGTAAACATGACGGCTTTCTTCTTTCGTGAGGAGGTTTGGCGTCATGGCCTCTTTGTTTCCAGGTGGAACGTTGAAGAACGCGACACACACGTCTCCCGGAAATCCTGTATAATTCAACCAATCCGATGACGACTTCGAAACTGCTGAAGTGTTTCCACTTTTTTGTGCCGTATGCATCAGACGTTTAGCCAACGTTCCGTGTGCGTGACGTCTGAGGCTGAGACTATTCTTAGCCTACATTGTCCCACTGAATTGAATTTGATAATTTACAACAATAATTGTTTTCCGCATTATTTACATGGAAATTCGTTCTGCTTATAGTGTTTTATTTCATTTCTCTTTATGTTGTTCCTTTTACATGTGTCATGTGAGCATATAAATCACACTCGTGTCTGTCAGGTGCTCACCTGGCCATGTGGCATGGATCACAAACCCAGCCGTGGTCCTTCTTATTAAAACGCCTGCAGGACTTGTAGACAAATAGCTTGCAATCCAGACACTGGCGCTTGCTGTTGACAAGGAATTTGAAGGGCTGCAGACAGCGGATACAGAGGGAATCACTGAGTTTAGGCTGATATTCCAGTAGCTCTCTCTTGGTGTCCTCTTTCATTATTTTGGTCTTGAGTTCCCTGCGTGAATAACAAAAATCAGTCTTGAATGCTGATTGTTTTTATTTCTGTCGACCTTGTTTGATCTCCAAAGCAGTTAACAGTCCAAGTTCAGACTCAGGGTCTGTAAACTCTTTAATAAGGACCTCACGAAGTAGCTGGTAGCTTGACTTTGTTTGACTGGGCTGTCGATCTAGGAAGTTTCGTACCTCAGGACTTGATGTGGCTCTTAGGAGGTATAACCTGTCTCTGTCAGTCACACGAGGTCTCATTTCCAGATGAAACTCGATATCTTGCAGGTAGGCCTGGATGTCGTGGCCCTCTGCAGAGTTTGGGTTGAAACTGCTGATGATTTTAGACAGCTTGTTGAGGTCTTTGATGGTCATCCCATGTGCAGCTCCAAGGTCTGCTTGGATGGGAGGTATTTTTGGTGTTATGCACTGGTGTGTTGCACTGGTGTGTAAAAAACAGTTGTGACCTCTTGTTCCAACCGTAACCAATTAGAAATAATGAAAAAATAAAAGAAATATCGTTTGCCAACACTGCTAGTATATGGATGCCTGGTTTTAGACACATATCGCAGTAGAGAATTTGGCATCGTCGCCGCGGTCAGTCAGCGACACCGCTGCACAGGACTGAGATTTTCTGTTTCAATGGGCATTAAATTCATGAATATTCATGAGTTTCCCGGACTTGTGCGTGGAACTGAGAATTTTTAGTTCACACTGAAGACTGGAGAAGTCAAGATCTGACATCACAGGGAAAAATAAAAAACAGTCATTTTAAATTGCAAAAACATTTCACAATATTACTGTTTTTGACTATATTTTTAATCAGATAAATGCAGTTGGTGAACAAAGAACCTTATTAATACAAAACCTTTAAATAGTAATCAATAATCATATTATCAAAACAAGAACAAGCACACTTATGAACATTTGTAAAATTAAATTATTTTGTTAACATCAAATGAGTTGCTTATTCCATTCCATAACATGCTGTAAAGTATAGGCTATTTGTTTTCTCATTTACAGTGTACCAAAATGTACACTGTAAAAAAAAAAATCCGTAAAATTTAAATAATGTTAATATACCAACCCACTGAAGTACTGAAATGTTGTACCTTTGTAATATACTGCACCAAAAGCAGGTGGTGATGAGAAAATCACATAATGAACCAAAGCCTATCACAAGCAGCTTTAAAATATTAACATATATAGAAGGTGCACAGTGTCATTCACACAAACACTAAACACCATCATGGTAACACACATGAAACTGAAATAATGCAATAAACATTAATTGAACAATATTAGATGTTACATACAACATATAATGTACACAACTGATAAGAAAAACCTAAGAAACATATTTCAACAACAAAAAAAAAACATTACAGTTGAAATGTAACGCAGGGAATTCTGGGAATGTTAATTTACGGTTATTCGCTGTAAATTATACAATCGGTTTCACTTCCAAAAATGGTATACTACAGTAAATTACATGTAATGTCCAATACAGTTTTTCACCGTATATAGTAGGGGAACTTACCGTTAACCATTTAACAGGTTTTTATTGTAACATTTTTACAGTCTTTTACTGTTAAATTCACGGTCATTTTTTACAGAGTAGGCTACTTCTTACACTTGTCCAAACTATTTTGTTTAGTCCAAAATTTTACGTATGTAGGCCTATTAAAGGAACAGTTTCATGCTTGTGTGTGGTTTAGAGTCCTGTTCATTTTGTAAATATGCTAAACAGTTTAAGAACAATCACACCACACTGTAAAAAAATGACCGTGAATTTAACGGTAAAAGACTGTACAAATGCTACAGTAAAAACATGTTAAATGGTTAACGGCAAATTTCCCTACTATATACGGTGAAAAACTGTATTGGACATTACATGTATTGGACATCAATTTTACAGTAGTATACTGTTTTTGGAAATTAAAAAGACCGTATAATTTACAGTGAATAACCGTAAATTGACATTCCCAGAATTCCTTGCATTACATTTCAAATTTGATGTTGTTTTTTTTTTAAATAACTGTTTCTTCTTAGTTTTTTTCTTATCAATTTTGTATATTAGGGTTGTGTGTTACACCTAATGTTGTTAAATTAATGTTTATTGCATTATTTCAGTTTCATGTGTGTTACCATGATGGTATTTAGTATTTGTGTGAATGACACTGTGCACCTGCTATTTATGCTATCATTTAAAAGCTGCTTGTGAGCGGGTTTGGTTCATCATGTGACTTTCTCATCACCTGTACAAAACAGATTTCAGTACTTCAATAGGTTGGTATATTAATATTATATCAGTTAATGAAATTAGGGTATTAAACTGTAAATTTAAGTTAAAACCGTAAAACCTAAAATGTTGCTTCTGCTTCTTTTTTTACCGTAAATTTTATGGATTTTTTTTTTACAGTGCAGGATAGATGAAAAATTATTAGTCCACAAATACAAGTTTATTTCAGTTGGTGCACTCAAATGATAACAACTAATAAGCTACAGCACAACGAACTGAAATCATAGTTTGCTGTGCTTTATACCAAAATTACACAAAGAATGCCTGCAATCATTCAGTCAGTGACGGCTGCACAAAACCTGCAAATAAAAACATTATAAAGTGTTACGAAATTATGAACAAATGTAGTTTAGGCTTAAGTTTGTGCAACACTGAAAATATATTTACATTTTTTGAAGTATTCCGTTAAATCTGCTGAGATTTAAGGAGTGTGAACTAAAATTCTCAGTTCCACACGCAAGTCCGGGAAACTCATGAATATTCATGTATGCACCGCCCATTGAAACCAAAAATCTTAGAAACAAAAAATATCGTAACATCTGATCTCCTCCCCAGCTCCTCGACATTTTTTTTGATGAAAAATTATTGGAATGAAATAACATTTATATCCAGTTTAAAAACAATGTTTTCACTCTGAAACAGGCGTTTTTGATTTTGTTTATAGGTTGTTTGCACATGACGTCACGAAATACAGCTGGAGGGCAGGAAGTGATTTTCTCCATAGGAATCACTAGCAGAAACTCAAAATGCCTGTGTTTTGCGTTGTTTATGGATGCTAAAATTGACCAAACCGAGAAACCACAAGGAGCTTTTATCATGTAGAAAATGTGTTGTTCATAAGTGGGGAAAAGTCAAGAAATTGACTGAAAAACACAGGAAAACCTGTCTTGTAAACCTGCGTCTGCAGTCGGGAGGAGTGGAGCTGGATAATGCTCGTGTGTGCAAATGGTTAACATAAGATATAATAATATATTAAGCTATTAATAAAGATATAAATACATTGGGCTGCCACCTCTCACGCATTCAGAGTGAGACAGTCAGAATTCACGCAGTGCTAAACGCCACACGTAGACACGATGTAAACAAGATATTATTTGCAGTTCAGAGAGCTTCACTGATTATAAAAGAACATCGTGAGATTGTGATAAATTGAAGTGAGTGACAGCTTTTTTAGTGATTATATGAAAGCGCTATTTGCTCACTTTCTAGGCTATAATAAATTCAGAATTTGAATACAAGTTTTGTTTTACGTGCTGCTAACAGGACCAACATGCAGCAAAGTTTCAGGAGTGACTGAAAAAGCAGAACGAATGAGATGGAGGAAAGTCCGTACTGTACTGTTTTAGGCATGAGGCATTTTTTGCGCTTTCATTGTATTGCTGTACACCCAATGCGCTTTACAATCATATGAGGGGATCTCTCTTCAACCACCATGCTATTACAAGAGAAAGGTATTTATAATCACAACATATGTTGGATGTGATCCTTATGTTATGAAGAGGAGCGATTTTTAAACTAAATTGAAATACTTGCCTGATGGTCCTCACTGCAGAACACAAGATCCATGAGGCATGGTTGGATCCAGATCCAACTCCTCCCACCTTACATATACCTAAACCTACCCGTCTCCACCCCCTGATCCCTAAACCCACCCATCTTCACCCACCCACCTTCACGTTGATTTGATTATCCTTGAGGGGATCTCTCTTCAACCACCATGCTATTACAAGAGAAAGGTATTTATAATCACAACATATGCTGGACGTGATCCTTATGTTATGAAGAGGAGCGATTTTTAAACTAAATTGAAATACTTGCCTGATGGTCCTCATTGCAGAACACAAGATCCATGGGGCGTGGTTGGATCCAGATCCAAGTCCTCCCACCTTACATATACCTAAACCTACCAATCTCCACCCCCTAGATGTGGATCCAACCACTCCCCCTGGATCTGGTGTTCTGCAGTGAGGGGCTACTGTGCCATTGAGGTGGTGGATAACGTGGACGTGGACAACAAGGATTGTCAGTACTGCAGAAAGAGTTGGACGTAATTAAACAGTACAATGAAACGTTGTATTATATACACAATCTATGCATTTGTTACATTTATTTCTAGTTGATTTGATTAATTCGTGGCTTTTCGAGCTCAGTGAGTGAAGTCAGTGAGTCAGTGAACAACGGCTCTGTGTATTTAATGCTGCTCAATGTGAAAGCCTGCAGGGGATGGAGATTTACCGCTGATTACAGAACCGGCTTTCTGACAAGATGCGCATTAAACATCGCATGTGATTTATCGTGCACCCCTATCGCAGACTATGGAAATCTGTCCACGACAGCAAAATCCAGCCAAAAATCCTGTAGTGTGAGCCCGGCTTAACCCTGATTGTAAACAAGCTATTTCGAAAAGTGAATCCCGTATTTATATGAGGGATGTGGAATATATGTCACTCCTGAAACTTTGCTGCATGTAAGTTATAGGGTATGTGGCTGTTGGTCCTGTTAGCAGCACGTAAACCTTTTAAATTCTGAATCGATTATAGCCTAGAAAGCGAGCAAATAGTGCTTTCATATAACGTTAATCACTAAAAAGCTGTCACTCACTTCAATTTATCGCAATCTCACGATTCCGTGATATGAAGCTCTCAGAACTGCAAATAATATCTTATTTACATCGTGTCTATGTGTGGCGTTTAGCATTCAGTTAATTC